ATAAACACACACCTGCTCTTATTTAGATTCTTTCCCCATATAGGTCATTACAGAGTGCTGAGTAGAGTTCCCTGGGCTATACAGTCTTTACTAATCATCTATTTTACTTTTTTGTTAAACACTTTGTTTTGTGTTAGAGTATCCAATTAACAATGTGATAATTTCAGGTAGACAAAGGCAAAGGGACTTAGCTACACACACACACACACACACACACACACATACATATACACACATATGTATATGTCTGCTGCTGCTACTACTGCTAAGTCGCTTCAGTCGTGTCTGACTCTGTGCGACCCCATAGATGGCAGCCACCAGTCTCCCCCGTCCCTGGGATTCTCCAGGCAAGAACATTGGAGTGGGCTGCCATTTCCTTCTCCAGTGCATGAAAGTGAAAACAGAAAGTGAAGTCAATCAGTCGTGCCTAACTTTTTGCGACCCCATGGACTGCAGCCTACCAGGCTCCTCCGGCCATGGGGTTTTCCAGGCAAGAGTACTAGAGTGGGTTGCCAGTGCCTTCTCCTATGTATATGCATATATACACATAGATATACACATGCATCTATTCTCCCCAAAACTCCCCTTCCATCCAGGCTGAAACATGACATTAAACAGAGTTCCCTGTGCTATATAGTAAGCCCTCAGTTCAGTCGCTCAGTTGTGTCCACTCTTTGCAACCCCATGAATCGCAGCACACCAGGCCTCCCTGTCCATCACAAACCCCTGGAGTTTACTCAAACTCATGCCCTTCTAGTCGGTGATGCCATCCAGCCATCTCATCCTTTGTTGTCCCCTTCTCCTTCTGCCCCCAATCCCTCCCAGCATCAGGGTCTTTTCCAATGAGTCAACTCTTCACATGAGGTGGCCAAAGTATTGGAGTTTCAGCTTCAGCAGCAGTCCTTCCAATTAACACCCAGGACTGATCTCCTTTAGGATGGACTGGTTGGATCTCCTTGCAGTTCAAGGCACACTCAAGAGTCTTCTCCAACCCCATAGTTCAAAAGCATCAATTCTTCAGCACTCAGCTTTCTTCACAGTCCAACCCTCACATCCATACATGACTACTGGAAAAACCATAGCCTTGACTAGATGGACCTTTGTTGGCAAAGCAACGTCTCTGCTTTTTAATATGCTATCTAGGTTGGTCATAATTTTCCTTCCAAGGAGTACACGTCTTTTAATTTCATGGCTGCAATCACCATCTGCAGTGATTTTGGAGCCCCCAAAATTAAAGTCTCTCACTGTTTCCAGTGTTTCCCCATCTATTTCCATGAAGTGATGGGACCAGATGCCATGATCTTAGTTTTCTGAATGTTAAGCTTTAAGCCAACTTTTTCAGTCTCCTCTTTCACTTTCATCAGGAGGCTCTTTAGTTCCTCTTCACTTCCTGCAATAAGGCTGGTGTCATCTGCATATCTGAGGTTATTGATATTTCTCCTGGCAATCTTGATTCCAGCTTGTGCTTCCTCCAGCCCAGCGTTTCTCATGATGTACTCTGCATATAAGTTTAATAAGCAGGGCGACAATATACAGACTTGATGTACTCCTTTTCCTATTTGGAACCAGTCTGCTGTTCCATGTCCAGATCTAACTGTTGCTTCCTGACCTGCATACAGGTTTCTCAAGAGGCAGGTCAGGTGGTCTGGTATTCCCATCTCTTTCAGAATTTTCCACAGTTTATTGTGATCCACACAGTCGAAGGCTTTGGCATAGTCAATAAAGCAGAAATAGATGTTTTTCTGGAACTCTCTTGCTTTTTCAATGATCCATCGGATGTTGGCAGTTTGATCTCTGGTTCCTCTGACTTTTTTAAAACCAGCTTGAACATCTGGAAGTTCTCGGTTCACGTATTGCTGAAGCCTGGCTTGGAGAATTTTGAGCATTACTTTACTAGAGTGTGAGATGAGTGCAATTGTGCAGTAGTTTGAGCATTCTTTGGGATTGCCTTTCTTTGGGATTGGAATGAAAACGAACCTTTTCCAGTCCTGTGGCCACTGCTGAGTTTTCCAAATTTGCTGGCATGTTGAGTGCAGCACTTTCACAGCATTATCTTTCAGGATTTGAAATAGCTCAACTGGAATTCCATCACCTGCAGTAGCTTTGTTCGTAGTGATGCTTTCTAAGGCCCACTTGACTTCACATTCCAGGATGTCTGGCTCTAGGTGAGTGATCACACCATTGTGATTATCTGGGTCGTGAAGAAATTTTTGGACAGTTCTTCTGTGTATTCTTGCCACCTCTTCTTAATATCTTCTGCTTCTGCTAGGTCCATACCATTTCTGTCCTTTATTGAGCCCATTTTTGCATGAAATGTTCCCTTGGTATCTCTAATTTTCTTGAAGAGATCTCTAGTCTTACCCATTCTATTGTTTTCCTCTATTTCTTTGCATTGATTGCTGAGGAAGGCTTTCTTATCTGTCCTGGCTATTCTTTGGAACTCTGCATTCAAATGGGAATATCTTTCCTTTTCTCATTTGCTTTTCGCTTCTCTTCATTTCACAGCTATTCCTAAGGCCTCCTCAGACAACCATTTTGCCTTTTTGCATTTCTTTTCCATGGGGATGGTCTTGACCCCTCTCAGTAAATAAATAATGGGGTTTTCCTAGTGTTTCAGACAGTAAAGAATCCTCCTGCAATGCAGAACACTCCAGTTTGATCCCTGGGTTGGGGAGATACCTTGGAGAAGGAAATGGCAACCCATTCCAGTATTCTTACCTGGGAAATCTCATGGACAGAGGAGATTGGCAGGCTACAGTCCCTGGGGTCACAAAGAGTTGGGACATGCTTGAGTAACTAACATTTTCAACATTTGGTGAGTAGCTGTGTAATCCTCTGATCTTAAGAAAGTGCATCTGATTCAACCTTTATTAGTAAAACTTTATTAGCCCATAGGACAGAGGAACCTGGTGGGCTACAGTCCTTGGGGTCTCAAAGAGTTAGATGTGACTGAGCGACTAACACAAATAAATAATAAGTATATTAGGTCTCCTCACCCTAAGTCTAGTCACTGCAGTGACATGATGACAACCAAGTCAGATATCCTGTGTGAGCAATTCTAAACCCACAGGCAATGCATGCGTGCTAAGTCGTTTCAGTCGTGTCTGATTCTGTGCGACCCCATAGACTGTAGCCCGCCAGGCTCGTCTGTTCATGGGATTTTCCAGGCAAGAATACTGGAGTGGGTGCCACGCCCTCCTCCTGGGGAATCTTCCCAACCCAGGGATTGAACTTGTGTCTCCTATATCTCCGGCATTGGCAGGTGGGTTCTTTACCACTAGCGCCACCTGGGAAGCCCATAGGCAGCAGACGAGGAGAAATAATTCTCTGCTTATAAGGAAAAGGAGGCGGCTGTCTGCTCCCTTCCAGAAAGGGTCTTCTCTTTAGCCGTTTGATAGGGAAATAAAATGTCTCCAGGAGTCAGATAGATCCACGCAGGTCTTAGCTTTTACAATTTAGAGATGGCAGCCAGTCCCTGAGTTCCCTTCTTCCTTGATGCGTACAGTAATCAGGGAGACAGTTCTAGTCCCCCTGGAGCCTTGGTGTTTGACCTAAAGACAGTCTTTGGGAGACAGTTCTAGTCCCCCTGGAGCCTTGGTGTTTGACCTAAAGACAGTCTTTGTCTGTAGCCATTTGACTTGCTAGGGGAGACATAAATTCATTATTATCTTTTTGGATCAGAGCAATTAACTAGCCAAATGGCTGTAGGTCTAATTCTTAAGGCAGGAGAAGAGTTGGGAATCGGCATTCTCAACTGCCAATTAGCAATCCCAAATGCCAGCCAAGGGTTGACATTTTATAGGAACAATAAGAAATCCAGGGAAAATTCATACTCCCACATTTATCTGAATACTCTTCTAGACTCATATATCTGCCTTTCATTCTCTAATGTTTCTTGATGAATGGAACCTTCCTAACTGTAAAATAGTTCAGTTTACCATACTTTAAAAAAAAGTTATTTTTTTAGGCTTTTAAAAAATGATTAATGCTTTCTGTTTTTAGTTAAAAAAATATTCTTTAGCCACATGGAACTCTGCTCAATATTCTGTAAAAACCTAAATGGGAAAAGAATTAGAAAAGATTAGAAAGAAATAGACACATGTATATGTATAACTGGTGGAGAAGGAAATGGTAACCTGCTCCACTAGAGCTGGACATGACTAAGTGGCTGAAACAACAGCAGCATATGTATAACTGCATCACCTGCTGTAGACCTGACACTAACACAGCATTGTTGATCAGCTACACTCCAGTATACAAAAAATTCTTTACCCCAAGATCATGGAAATATTCTTCTAATTTTCATCTAGAAGATTTATTAGTTTTCTTTTCACATTTTTAAGATTAGAGTCTGATCATCTCTTAAGAAAAAAGCGTTAAGGTGTTATAATTGATTACCATAATATGTTGTCTTAGAGATATAGTCATCAGTATCAAAGTGGCAAACAAGCACATACTTGACAGAAAGTGTATCCTACAAGGAAATAAATCTATGTATATGACTTCACAAATAATTTCCCCTTTTGAAGACAGCTTTATTGAGGTATAATTGATATTCACATATTTGGCATATGTGTAAATTACATATTTTCACAGAAATTCACATTATTTAATGTATACAGTGAGTTCAGACATATTCATACACGGGTGAAACCATTGTTACTGCTGTTCCTGGGAGATCTGGGACTCAGCTTAGGATGTATCAGTCAGTAAAGGAGGAGTAGCTGAGCACCATATAATAGTACATTAATATTGCCTACGTTTCTTGGTTCTGTAAGTAACAGACATATTGTTATAAATATTAACAGTGAATTTCCCCCATGTATTCCTGGAGATAGATTGAGCTAAAAGGATTATCAATACATATTAATGGTAGGTACTAAGTGCCACAGAATGAGGTTGTGATTATAAAACCATGGCTAATATACCATTAGAGAAAAATACAATGAATACCAAGGAATTCTTTTATGATTTGTTTTTTTTTTGTACTCAGTAATCATTTAGTTTTTTGAAATTGAATGCAACCCTTTTGGTCATGTCTTTGAAAGCTTGTACCACTTGTTTGTTCCTCAGAGTATAAATGAAAGGATTCATTACGGGGGCAACCGAAGTTGTTAGCACTGACACCACCTTATTAATAGCTACCCCTTCTTTTGCATGTGGTTTGATGTAGATGAAAATGCAGGTTCCATAAGTGATAGAAACCACAATTATATGGGAAGAACATGTAGAAAAAGCCTTTTTCCTTTGCTGGGCAGAAGGGAATCTGAGAATGGTCCTGATGATGTATATATAGGACATGATTATACACATCAAGGTGAACAGGAGTGTCAACACAGCCAGGACCAAGACGAATCGCTCTAGGAACTCTGTGTCTGAGCAAGTAATCTTCAGGATGGGAGCAGCATCACAGCCAAAGTGATCTATGACATTAGAGTCACAAAACTCAAGCTCAAAGCCCATGCCAAATGGTGGGATGACGATGATTAGAGCAATCATGTAACAGCCAATGAGGAACTTGATGCAGACCATGTTGTTCATGATGGTTGTGTAATGCAGGGGTTTGCAGATGGCCACATAGCGGTCATAGGACATGGCCGTCAGGAGAAAAAACTCAGTCACAGCCAGGATAACAACAAAAAATAATTGAGTGGCACATGCATTGTATGTAACAGTATTGTCCCCAGATGCCATTGTATAGAGGAATCTGGGAATACAGACGGTTGTGAATGACACTTCCAAGATGGAGAAATTCCGGAGGAAAAAATACATGGGTGTTTTGAGGTGAGGATCTACCAAAGTGAGAGTGATGATGATCAGGTTTCCAACAACACTCAAAAGGTAGGTTAGAAACAAGAAGATGAAGAGCAGAATCTGTAGATTTGGGTCATCGGTTAGTCCCACAAGGATGAATGTTGTTATTGTTGTATAATTTTTCATCCCTGATTCCTGACTGTGGTTGTGTCTATGTGTTAAAAAGAAAGAGAGAAATTAGATCAGAGAACTAGACTGTTACATGAGTTAGCAGAGAGAAGACATGAAATTCCTAGCTAATGTTAACTTAGTTACATAAGCCAAGGTTTTACTTTATTTACCTGTGAATCAAGAATGCTATTTTATTTACCTGTTAATGAAGAACGCTATTGGAGCAGCACTTAATTAATCATTATCGCTACTGGATTCCCACTGCTGAGCATTATACTGGATACTAGTCAGAAGGCTCTACTTAAAGATTCTTATTACTATATCAATGTAGTATTAATTCAATAGCAAAGGAATTATTTGGTCAACAACCTAATGGAAAAGAAGCTAGGCTTTATTATCAGTGTTAATGAACAGAAAAACACTGCCATAAAAATATGCGTGGTTTGTAATTTCCTGACAATAAAACCTCAAGCTGTGCTGTCATCTCGGTTCTATGGGATGCAGGGGTGACTACAGTTAAGGTTGAGAAGTTAAATTTTTTCTCCTCTCCATCTCTGCTTCCTCGCTTGTGATGATAATCCACATTCTCCTCTAAGGTGCCTCACATCTCTCTGCTCTCTTCCCTTTTAAACCGCACAGAAGTATGCTCCTAAGTCTATTCAAAAGATATAATCAAAGTAATTTTCAAAACCTTACATAATATCCATTTCTCTGTTTATAATCACTCACTGGAGTTCTATAACCCTTGGAATAAAAGACTCTTTACTCTGGTTTATAAGATATTTCATGATCTCATTGCTGTGAAATGCTCCTAATTTGTCTCTAGTTTAGCTGTTTGGGTCTTCTGTTCCTTGAAGATGCCAAATTCTTTTCTACCCCCGACTGAAAGGTTGTTGCTGAACCTCAAAAAGACGCTGGGATTCTTGGCCTCCAGAGGAGAAGAATTCAGTCCGGGGCCAGAGACAAGGCTTGATCGCTCAGAGATTTCGTGTAATAAAGTTTTATTAAAGTATAAGGGAGATAGAGAAAGCTTCTGACATAGGCATCAGAAGGGAGCAGAAAGAATACCCCCTGCTAGTGTTAGCAGTGGAGTTATATGCTCTCCAATGAATCAAAAGAATGTCTGGAGGTTGTAAAGACCTCACCAGACCTACTCCCATAATTTACATTTTAAGATAACAGGATTAGCCAGAAGGTTTAATCCAGAGACTGTCCTCAGGCAGGATACATTATTGTTATATAATCTTTGTAAAGACCAGACCTACTCCCATAATTTACATTTTAAGATAACAGGATTAGCCAGAAGGTTTAATCCAGAGACTGTCCTCAGGCAGGATTCATTATTGTTATATAATCCTAAGGAATGTAGAGGGGAAAAAAAGTTTGTCCTTTCTTCCTCCTTGAGAATTTCAGACCCCTCTCTCCTTGGGGACCCCTAGGCTTCTTATCAACCTGCCTAGGAAATGACTCTCTCATGATCTTTTGCAGTTTTCTCTCTTCTAGAAATGCTCTGTTTGCACTCTGGATTTTATTTTTCAGGTGCTAACTTAAATGTAATCCCCTCAAAGATGCATCTCTGAGGATCCTATCTATATTGTTTCTACCTCCAATGTTGTGAGCACACTCTCTGTTTATTTCTTTTATTATCCATTTACTTTTTACTTTCATCCTCTACTTGATAGCAAATTCCATGAGAGCACAGATGGATTTATTTTGTAAACCACTGTAAACCCAAGGCTAGATTTTTTCCTGGCACTAGCAGATACCAATACAAGTTTACTGAGTGAATGAGGCTGGGCATTTTGTCCTGGATAACTGATAGACTAGTTTCGTTTAAAGTGTAAATGAAAAGTTACATCATTCACTTATATTTTAGGTTTTAATCTTCACTTAAGGATTTCAGTGTATTGAGGCAATTCTAGAAATCAGAAAGATAAATGATCAGTTTTAGTCATCAGCTCCCATAATTACACTAAACTACATCATCTGTACCTAAGATTGAATAAGAATTAATCTTTTAAAGCTACTTGGGGTTAAGAGTGGTGTCTTGAAGGAAGGATTGCAGAGGGAAGGAGGTGGCCTGGTGGTAAGCTTTTCACTTTGTTCATATCTTTGCCTCATTTTCTCAGCAGGAACTTGGCTGGGGAGAATTGTCACCCAGTCCTAGGTCTCCTCTGAGAGAGCCCATCTGGGTTAATTATGAGACATAGGGATGGGACTTCCCTGGTGGCCAAAATAGGGGATATGGGTTCGAACCCTGGTTCGGGAACTAAGATCCCACATGCTGCAGGGCAACTAAGCCCGTGAACCACAGCTAGTCAGCCTGCACCCTAGAGCCCGCAAGCCACAGCTGCTGAAGCCCACAGGCTCCCCAGCCCGTGCTCCACAACCAAGAGAAGCCACCACGAGAAACCCTCAACTAGAGAATGGGCTTTGCTCAGTGCAACCAGAGGAAGCCCACCCGCAGCAGCGAAGACCCGGAGAAGCTTAAAAAAAGAGATGGGGGTTAAGAGTGGAAGTTCTGGAATAAAATAGCTACCAGGGCTTGATACTTGGGTTCACACATGGTCATGAAACTTTGGAAAGTTCAGTAATTGGTTCTGTTTCCTGGTCTGTGACATGCAAATAATAATTGTATGTTTTTCCTGGGTTAGTGTAAAGATTAAATACATTAATTCTTCTAGGCTCTTAGCGTCCTGCCTGGCATAGAACAGATACCAAATACATTCTGTTCATTCTATTTCTTCTTCCCGGACCTACTGCCTCTCCTTGTGTTCACATACTGTCTCATAGCTTTCCCCACCTTATCCCTAGATTCACCTCTCACCTCTTACTGTATTCTGTATACATATTTTAAGGTTGCTGCTATTTTTGAGGTTAAATACAAAATTATAAGGTCCTCTTAAGTTCCACAAATGTAATATTCATTGATAAGTCTATTTATATGGGAGTAATTCAACTATATACAGTGTAACATGTGACTTATTCTCTCTGAATCTCGTACATTCATCATCTACACTGTTTATACTTTCTAATGTGATTTCCTGCCCAAGTCTCTTAATTCAAGCATTGTTCTTTGGGATATTCACTTCCTTTCAGTAACTGCAGGTTTCATATTCTCTCCTTGTCCTAGGGTCCTCTTGTTTCATCTCATTGTACTTGAGAACTCCCCAGAAATTCCCCCCACTAATTTATAAGAAATCTCTTTTATGACTTCTACATGTTGCCTTATCTTTTTCTCTTTGAACTATTGCAAAGGAACAAGAGAGAAGAAAAAAAAAAACCTCAGTCAAATGGACACCAGGTTACAGTAAATGACTTAAGAGAGCTACATAAATTGAGATACAAATCACCTTAATAATTATTTTAGCCAACCCTCTAATTTTAAAGATAGAAATCGGAGGGTCAGCAGTCACCAGGCTCACTAGGAGCAAAGTCTAAGGAAGAATCTGTTTTCCAAATCTGATTTCTATGCTTTTTTTTCACTGTGCCAAAATTAGGAGAGAATTTCAGGGTTTTTTTTTTGGTTTCCCTGATTTCCACTCACCCCTTAGGAAGTTCGCCACTTCTAATGTGTGTGTGTGTGTGTGTGTGTGTGTGTGGGTGGGTGGGTGTGTGTTTTAATCTTCCAAGGGTTCTCAGTCCATTCTAACTGATTCCTCAGTCTCTATATTACTTCAGGGAACACTTACTGTCAGTGCTGTAGGAAGAAATAAATTCACCTAAGGTTTTAGAAGCTGGTAACCATATTTATGTTACTCACTCCAGGCATATTTATGTTTTTAATTGAAGAATAAACTTCTCATGAGGAAATTCCTGGGATAAGAATAGGCTTTTAATGGAGATATCGGCATAGAAAATCCCCTTTTCATTTCATTCAATTTAATTCACAAAATTCTTCAAGGAAGGTAATATTTATAAGGCAGGTACTAAATGTTAATAATTATGTTAAACATTTAGAGTACATCATTTAATTCTCAAAACAGCTCTCTGAGGCTGGTTGTAATTTAATCCTCATTTTACAGTTGAGGAAATCACAGTCCAGAAATATTTAGAATTGTGCCCAAGGTCGATGACTTAGGATTCAGTAAAGCAGGAATATTAACTGTCTGTCTATATGACCCAGCTCATAACCACTATAAAACACTGCCTTCTCAACTCTTTATTTGACTGATTTATTTCTCCTCTTTATCTTTTGAGAAACA